CTGTGTTCAAACAAGAATCTTTTTGTGGTCCCTTAGAAATTGTCACCACATGAATTTGTTGATCAGGTGGCAGTTGATCTGTTCGTAATTGGTCTACAGACATTTCTTCACCTCACGAGCCAGTCGCCAAGCCCGGCGAGCAGATCAGCTGTCACCTAACAAGCAGTCAATAACCCTGGGGGCGAGATAGCACAGTGCCTGGGGCGCGAATTCACTGACCTAGAAGGTCCGTGGTTCGAACCCGACCTCTGCATTTCAATTTCTCCTGTCTAGGCCTAGGCAAACTGGCAGTATCCCAGCCCTCGTCCTTTCTTCGGATGGCGTGGCGGTTAGGCATCAAAAGGGTGCTACAGCTGAATCATTTTTTCCGTCCTAGTCAATAACCTGAGTCATCAATATTTAAACACATTGGACTGTATCCTTGTTTTTTCAGTAACTAATATGCGTGGTCTAAATCCAGTGACCTTTCACCGGTAGGTTTCGCGCCTTTTTCTGGATTAGCGATACAAATCACCCGGCTTCTAACAAGCCAACCTGTTGACCTGTTTTTACAAAATTTAAGACAAACGGGCGCAGCTGACTAAGTGGCGTGAGAACATGTGGGCACATGTGTGCAAATACGTGTCTTATTCAATTTGATCGTGACTGGACTTTGGAATCGAAGACGTCCTAAACTCTTACTGCGTTCGTCCTGTTTTCTTTCGAAGCCATATAGACAAACGCTCTTCGATCGACCATTCTCATAAGTTAACTGCGTTAGTCAATGTGAGCATAATATTGATGTAAGTACATCGTGAGTGAGAATGATCTAATCTCAATAGAGAGTAAAAAACTCTCACAAGCCGTTCTGTTGCCATCTGGTCTTACGTAGCATCTGGCAGGACTGTCAGCGGAAGAGCAAGTGAAGGGACTGCAAAGTTGATCTGATAAGGAAGCGCGTCTGGTTTCCTTTTGGGTATTTTATACTGTTTGTAGACAGGTTTGGAATGATATACAGTCTCACTCGACTGCAAACCTACATCGTTATTCTCTTACCTCGTCCAGCTGTAGCACCCTTTCGGTGCCTTACTTCCATGCCACCCGAAGGAAGCACGAGGGCTGAGATACTGCCGGGTTGCCTTAGGCTAGACAGGGAAGTCGACAGGCACAGGTCGGGTTCGAACCACGGACCTTCCTGACAGTAAATTCGCGCTCTAACCACTTGGACCATCTCTCCCAACTTTTACCTCACTTATACACAAACTCGGTCATTCGGTTTGATCCCATTTTTCAAGTCACAACACTTTAGACTGATAAACATACTTGGTACACGTCAAAAAAACAAAAGGATATTCCGATTACTTTGGCATTCCTTTCTCAGACTGGCTAACAAGCTTATTATTGGACAGGTGTACTTTGGATTTAGCTAGATATAGTGGAAGAGCTGACCTCCGTGAAAAAAACTTTGGTTAACCGAGAACAGTGCTTCCAGAGTTACAGTTGTTGAAACACTAAGTAAAAGACACACAGAGCTCTGTGTGTGCTAACGGGAATCTCCCTTGTTCACGATGCTTTCGAATAAATATGCTGAGCAGAGTAGTATAATACTACTCGTTTGGTAGTAACACCTTTTCGGTTCCTATGTTTATTGCCATCCGAGAGAAGCATGAGGGCTGAGAAAATGCCAAATTCTCCAAGCCTAGACAGGGGCACGTGAGATCCCGGGGTCTGGTTCGAACCAGGGACCAGTTAGTAAATTCAAACCTTAATCGCTGAGTTATCTCGAGCCTCGTGATCTCAGAAGTGTGGTTATTACATTGGGTATGGGATAGAAGGTCACCACTGTGTTTAACTGAATTCCCGTGAGCAGTCAAACTGGCCGTCAACGGCCCCAAATCCAAAATGTACTCATTAGCTCTGCACACGCTCCAAAAAATCCCCTCAGAGGTGGCATTGTCAACGGAGCACTTTCGAGAATTCATCATTCCATTTGGTGAATCGGACACCTAGTTGAGAGTGCAAACTGCTGTTGCAGGTTTGGGTGAATTCACACACAAAGCTGGTCATGCTATTTGAACCGCTAGGGACAGTAGACAGACTTACTTATCCGGGTAGATATAAAAATGAGTACAATCGTTCAAGTGTCACACCACTTCCGCATCCAGCTGCTACGCCACTGTACGAGGGCTGAGGTATTGTCAGGTTACCCAAGCCAAGACAGAAATAGTCAAGGTGCCAGTGTTGGGTTCGGACTACAGACCTTCCGATTAGTAAGTTCACGCCATGATCACTGAGGTTATCTCTTGCTTGTCGTAGATAGTTCACGATGGATGGGAGCATTACTGACAAGTGGGAGAAGCCTGTCATACTTTCCTTCAGGTCCCATGTGACAGCCTGTCTACAATGTGACAGTGCGTTCAGTGTTGCTTTACCATAATGAAGACTGGCCACTGCTCAATGACGACAAAAGATAACTATTATCATCACCACCGGTCTCCGGTTTGCCTCGACTGTTCTTCTGAGTACGTGCAATTGATCTCAGGACGAACCAAGTTCATAAAAATCCAATATTGCCAAAGCCCTCCGTCACGCGTATAACGCCAAAACTGGTCCGCCAGTTATTGATCCATTACGCCACCTCTTCAACACTTTTTGTTGTTTTTCGCTACAAGGCATAACAGAGTATGTATGTGGCTATTGTCGTACACGTCTGACAAGCTATTCGAAAAAGAACGTTGCTGCAAGTAGAACAGAATTGGGCGTGTGCGAGTCAGAGTGCCAGTGTAGTGGAAACAGTGGCCTCAACTGTTCATTTAAGCAAAGAGGATGAAAGCTGGTAGCAAGAAAGTGATTTAAATCGTCGCTTACGTTGTCATGTAGCTTTCACTTTCCAGAAGACGGCAATGTGCGTTTGTTTTTCTCGAATATAGCGAACTACCAGATCGGTTTATGTGCGCATGTGGACAAGCAGTTTTGTTGGCGATTTTTTCAAAGTCAGGGCGCATTATTTAACGATCGATTTGACCGTTTTTGGCAAAAATTTTGCCGTGAATGGAATGCAGCTGCACACCTGCTCAGAGGGTGTGCGCAACACCGGCCCGTCGCACAATCTGCTCTTTTCACAGACGGATATGATGCATCGTAGAGTAGGGACGTGACCCAAGTTCCGGATTGCATCGGTGCATAAGTCTCACATTTTCATGCACACCAAAAATGCACATAGACTTTTCATCACTGGTGTGTACATCAAGATGACTTGTATGTGCCCACAGGGTTTCAAAAAAATACCTGATCGTACGATTTAATCGATTACTGAAGGCCGTCCATCACCTTTGTACTTCGGAAAAATTACCGGCCTGGAGAATATGCCACAATCGATCGTTCCAGCTCACCGTGAGCTCTCTAGACGCACCGCGTTACTGTGCTATGCCAGTTAAGCTAACAGCACAACACAAAGTCAGAGTGATACCGTGTGAGTACTTGCGTTGCCAAGTGTGAAAGCTGTGTCAATTGAATCCATCTACAATTGTCAGAACTCCTGTTGAAAGGAATCGATCGATTTTGGGGACAATTGTCACTTATCTGTCATAGAAAGCCGATGGCTACACGTATCTCAGCGAGTGATTTTTTTTTAAATACACCCTGGGAGCATAAAACTATGGTAAGGTAATGGATATACTCACTGAATCACTTCAGCAGCGAAGCTGATACGATATCCACTCGTATCCCTCCTCGATCGGCTAACGAACTACGCTCGTCAGAGCAGTGAGCGAATTTCTACTTTAGACTTGACGACAAGAACGCTCTCAGTAATCCGGTTTGGAACGATTTGCAGCTTATTTGGTTTGAGAAGGTCGTAAAAGGCCTTCTTTGAGATGTCGAGTAATGTAACTGTTTGGAAATATTTCCAAATCCCCGTTCAAGCCCGTTTCATACGCATACAGGTATGACGGTAATACTTACATACTATTATGCTAATATAAGTGTTTCTGGTGTCTAGCTGCCATGCCACTGGAGACAGGCTCCAGGGGTGAGATACTGTCGGGTTGCCCGAGTACAGTTAGAAGCAGTCGAGATGCTGAGGTTGAGTTCGAACCACGAGCCTTCCGGCCAGTAAGTTCGCGCCCTACCCAATGACTCATCTCGAGCTCAGAAGTATGATTTCTGATGGATGGCAGCATTTCCGACAAGTATGACAAACCTGTCATACTCGACTTCAGGACTAATGTGACTGCCTGTTGGTGAAAGGTAGGATTTACAGCACAACATTGCGTTTAGTGTTGCTTCACAGCAGTGAAGCCTGGCCTTTGCTCACTGAAGATCACCGAGTCATCTTGAACTTCCACTGCTAGTGTTTCTTGGTACAAAGTGAAGGCTGGTGTCGCTTAGTTCAAGGACGTTTGGCACCTAGTTCGGACACCAAACCTTGGCCATGAAAGTTGCTTTACTACATAGAGATTAGAGTGATTCATCTGTACTTCGTGCAGAAAGAACTTGACCGAGGAGAATGTTGGCAGTTCAGATAGCGTAGATGGACAATTTGACTGCAAACCTTTCATACCCAATCGTCATCGGTACGTTGTTGGGGAGCGTAGAGGTGGATCAGTAGTTGCGCGCGGAGTAGTGTTTCGTGTGTGCCATAATAAGTGCTGCTAGTCTGGGCTGATCTTCGATTACGCCTGGCTGATCGGTCGGGCTGCTGCTTTGTTGGTTGCTCTGTTATCCTGTATCCAGTCTGGTCTGTGACCACCTGATCTTTGAGTTTGGCCTCCCCTCTGACCCTGACCTCTCAAAGCACAGCAACCGACCAATCGACTCGGAGGAACGCAAACCACAACGCAACGAAGATCACAACCGGACCAATAGATTCGCGAAAAACACTGTCATCCAATCGGCCAATCACATCAAGAGATAACAGATGGCCTTCAAGTGCTATATAAACGCACGCAGGCAAACAGGAGGTACCCACCACTGATGATGTCTCCTCGTATGGTGACGAAACGCTCACAAGTCAGTTGCCAAGCTTGGTAATCCGATCAACAACCAACTGGTCAACAACCAACCGACCTATCTATACTCTTCAACACAACTCCAAACAACGCACTGGTGATGAAAATTTTGCAGTCATACTTGACCATTGCCGAGCATGTATGCATGTGAAATAAATTGTCCATAGAAGTTTCTATGGGAGCTCTGGAACAAGAGCCCGTTAACCGACTTAGAATTCGTATCCCTTGATACGTACTCTGGGTAGTCCCTTCACTGAAACTTCTCGCCTAGCTTTCCAGAAATCCACTTCCCAAGACTAATTCCAACATTTTATGATTGTCACTCAGTCACGCATCGATTGGGATACACTTTAATGTGACATTCTACTCCGGAAAATTTTCAAACCTGAATCTCGCTCTGCAATCCTGTTAGTTGTAGAAACCAGACAACTAAGTATCCCTAAGGGTCTTTTTTGTCAGACTCATTTTTACTACCCACATTAAGC